CATTTTTTACTCATTTGTATTTTCTCTTAGAGAAAAGGTAACATTAACGCTTTCCAGATACAGGACATCCAAGTAGATTGTACTTCAGGTATTAGCACTAAGAGCTGTAGGAGACACTATTTAGGACTCATCCATTTGCTCCACATTGCTATGGGAGAAAGGAATCCCTTAAAAATAATTCACTTCAAAACATTGTAAAAAATGTGTGTGTGTGTGCCTAGCTTAATTTCATATTAAGATGGTATGATGGCTTGAAAAAGTAATTTACATATGAACTTTTTACATACATATATTTAAACTAAGTAAAGTTAAATCAGATAATTAAATTCATGTTTAAACAGTTTTTTTTTAAATTCATGTCAATCCATTTCTTATTTCCTCAAATAAATGAAAACTAGAATTTTTTTAGTTAAATTCCAGCTTATAACATGTTCATAACAGGAGATAAACTGTAAAAATGTAATCTCTTAAATATCACACTTATTCAGAGCAATATTAGCTGCTGTAATACACTCCAGGATTTCAGTGGCTTATCTTGGAAGTTTATTTCTTGCTTGACATCCAGTACAGTATAAGGGCTCCTGGTCTATAGGTAGCTGTTCTCCATGAGGTGACTCAGAGGCCTTGGATTCATTCATCTTGTGCCTACACCATGCTCTCAGGCTTCAAAGTCCTCTTCTCCAAGCAGGCAGGCACAGATTTCCTTGACCCAGAAGTGGCACGTATCATTTCTATTTAGTTTCTAATGCAAAATTGTCATAAGGCCCCATGGAGACAGGGGAGGGACTGGGCAATTCAGTGCCTGGCTGGCAGACTCTTTCTAGCAACAATGCTATACCATGAAAGTGTAACCCCAGGATTCTACTGGGTAATTAACCATCTCTGTCACAGTGGCGTTCAAATTGTGGTACACTGTGTTCTGACATTATTTCTTAACTTAAGAAGACAGAATATGATAGTGAATTTGGAAGTAAGTTCTCGTTTAGCTTTATCACTTACTATAATACGTAGATTTCATTTGGGTTGAAGTTTTATTATCTATAAAATATTGATTGTTTTGAGGATCAAGAAAGATAACTTTTGGGAAATTGTTTTGTAACTTATGTATTGAAACGTATTATTATTATTATTATATATATATTTTTTGAGATGGAGTTTCGCTCTTGTTACCCAGGCTGGAGTGCAATGGCGCAATCTCGGCTCACCGCAACCTCCGCCTCCTGGGTTCAGGCAATTCTCCTGCCTCAGCCTCCTGAGTAGCTGGGATTACAGGCACACGCCACCATGCCCAGCTAATTTTTTGTATTTTTAGTAGAGATGGGGTTTCACCATGTTGACCAGGATGGTCTCGATCTCTCGACCTCGTGATCCACCCACCTCAGCCTCCCAAAGTGCTGAGATTACAGGCTTGAGCCACCGCGCCCGGCTGAAACGTATTATTTTTAATAAGCATCTACTCATATTCAAACTCTGTTTTACAACGTAAACTAGAATCCATATTCCCTGCTCATTTTTGTCAATGAGTTGCTCTAAGCTTTCTTCTGCTGAGACCCTCTTGATCTCTTTTTCTGCTCACTGTTTTAATGCACATACTCGACAATTACATTGTTCCCACTCTTTGCATTCTAATTTCCTTATAACCTCAGAAGGGGATCTAGGAAAGATGAGGAGACCTGAGGAATTTTCTGTGTCAGTCCTTTTTATAAGGTTTCATTTACCCTCAACACAACCCTGAGAAGTAGGTAAGTCTCCATTTTGCAAAGGAGAAAATTTAAGTGATTAGGCAGCTCATACATGGTCACGTAGCTGCCAGTGGCAAAGGCAGTATTCCAGTCCAGGTCTCACTGGTCCTCCAACCTCATTCCATTTCACCGCGTGCATCTGTGGGACAACAGGTGAGTTCCATTCCATCAGTGGGGCTGGTAGTTAGATGGTCAATTCCCACCTTCCTGGAAAAGGGACACAAGGGCCTGGATACCAAACTCCAAAATGAAAAGATTATATTGTTGCCCTAAATGTTCAGGAGAGAAATAACAAGAGCATATGTTTTGAGACTAGATTATGTCCTGATGTTTCATCTACTTTTGGTTACTATCTTTGAAATAGTTCATTGTCTTTTCATAGCCAGTGAAAGAAAGCATGTCCATTATGTTTATTGCATTTTTGTGCAAAAGGTATGAAAATTAAATACTACAAAAAATGTTTAAAACAAATTAATTTTAATTTTAATAATTATAATGATTTAGAATTATTATAAATATATATTACATTATCAATATATATTAATAATAAATAACATAATATATAAATAACAATATGTTTATTATATTAGTATATAATACACATAATATAATTAATATAATAATGATGGTTTCTATAGTATATATTATTAGCATAATCATTTAAATTTTGAATCAATTTAATTGATTTTTTTAGTTAACTAATTTTAATTATTATTCAGTGATTTATTAATAGTGTTGGATAGCAAAGAAAATCTGGTGAACTATTAGTTATTTATATATTAATGATGACATCAGTATGATTGATCTTTGGATAATTAATACTTTCCCACAAACTTCAGTGTGAATTTTACATACAATGATATAAATGTTCAGAATAAAATATGTATAAAATAAATATATAATATATAAAATAAAATATATAAAATAAATTTTATTCTGAATATTTATATGTGAGAATAAACACTTCTCTCACTTATTTTATTTTAAACCTGCTTAGAAAGTGAACAAATAATGGCTTTACATTGATTAACTCACTATAATGAAAAGCCCCTCTATTATCTTTCTTCTATAATAATACTAATACAACATAACAAATATCATGTTATCATTTACTTAGAAATAGATGATGATTTTTGAAGACAAGTCGGATATACCAAGGGACTGATTATGTGAAAGTTCTTGCTAAAAATCAACGATTCTAAGTACACCTTTTAATATATTTTTAAGAGAAAATTTTCACGCAATTTGACTGAAATTAAAAGGATTCAGCCGGGTGTGGTGGCTCGCGCCTGTAATCCAAGCACTTTGGAGGCCAAGGCAGGTGGATCACCTGAGGTCGCGAGTTCAAAACCAGCCTGACCAACCTGGTGAAACCCCATCTTAAAAAAAAAAAAAAGATTCATGTTTCAAGATGACTCTGCTACATGAAATATAAAAGGGAATTTGTGAACACCCTACCTAACTCTAATGTTTTCTAGTCCCTAAGACAGCATCATATGCACAGTGATCACAGAGGAAGAACTTGTTGGAAGAATGAATGAATGATTTCCTCAGGAGTAGTATCTTTGGTTCCAACCACTAAAACACTCAACATGGGGATTTTGTTTCTCATTCAGCTTCATTGTACTTTGAACTGTGACATATATGAAAAGAGAAATGCCTTAAAAATTAGGAACAGCATTATTCTTTTCTTAATCACGCCTGTGTAAAGTCAAAGATTTAAGTGAGTAGGTGCTTAGTGCTTTTTAGTGTACTTTCTTCTAAATTACGGTTGTGGAAAACTCTGGCTCCGCTCTGAGATGTCACTAAAGCAGCTGTCATTTCTAGCTCCCTTGCAGAGGCTGATCAAGGAGGCATTGGTCCACTGTTCCCCTTTGTGCAAGACATCACTTCAGAGGCTGAACATCATCTTGACCTCTGGAGCACAGGCATAGTTACAGTTTGTACACACTCAAGTCCTTAGGAAGGAGGAGGGCATGTCATGCTGGAATGACCATCATTGCCCACATCCAGCAGCTGCATAGCCAGCACCAAGCCCATCACTGCTGGCCACAGCTGAAAACTCAGAGGTCTTCAGGGTTTAATGTGACAACCCTAGCTTCTTTCCTTGGCCAGGGATTCAGTTCATGTCCCAACCCCATGTTGCAGTTCTTTAGTTTATTACCCTTCAATATCACCTTACTAAGGAGCCAGCAACCCCTAGTTTGCCTAGATCAGTCCCAGGTTATGCCTACTCTCCAAGTGTAATTGTTAATAGTGGCCATTTTCACCTTTAATTTCTCATCCAGTTTGGATGACAAGTTACATGGACATTCTACTCTAGTGAATATTAGACATGACTCTGAGGACTTACATTTGACCATATACTATCTATGTTTCCATTTGAGACACAAAATGATTATTTAGAAAATCCTTCCTCCTGCCCCCCACTGCTTTCTTTCTCCTTTTTCCACTGCTATAGTTATAAAATATTCAGTGATTTTTTTTTTTTGGCTTTGTCCTTTAATTTTACCTCCATTAGTCTGTTTTACTCTAAGCCTGGAGAGAATCAGCTTTTAGCAACAGCCTTTGGTGAAACTATTAAGGGACTTTGTGTAGCTCTAACAATTATATTCTTACTAGGTATTTAGAAGTTCAGGACTGGCATTTAATAAGATGACATTCCGCAAAAGCTAAGTTGTAAACAGTTGTGACAGATGCATCAGCCTGATTAATTTAAATGGATTTATGGAGAAATTAGATGACTGTTTTAAATACTCTTTTATAGCAACTCATCCATAGTGTATGACATCCAGTCTCTACTGCTATCTGTCTATATCATCATCATTTAATCTGTGTATCTGCTTTAAGTGGGGCCAGACTTCTGAAAAAATAAAAACTCAGCAATGTTGCTTTTTAGAATCTGAGCTGCCTAGGAGGTCACCCGAATTTCCACATGGCTTTGATAGAATGCCTTAACCTAAATGGAGTGTCCTTCAGTGAGAACTCAAGGACTTGTGGAAGTCAGGTGGGCAGAGGGCAGAGGGGGCTTTGGTGCTGTTACAATCACACCACGGGCAAGTAGCTTCTTGCCTCATCAATTCAGGGGTCTGTTTGTAATTCTCATTATCAAATAGCTTCAAAACTGCACTTAATTTGATGCTTTTATTGAGCAAATTTATATTGAGACATTTTTTAAATGTCACTGGCCCTGAAGCATATCTTCTTCAAGTACTAGTTCCCTGTTGGTGAACAAGTTTTCATTGCTGTGGACTTTCTTCACACCTTTTCATAGATTCTGGTGCTGACAACATTATTCATTTTACATTCCTAAAGGCCAAGATGGATCTATTAGAGTAGGTAGATAACTGGCTAAACGTGCCCTGCACCTTTCTCCTCAGACCAAACCCTTCATTCAGGATGCAAAAACAATTGAGTAACTTGAAAGGCATGTATCAGATAGGAACATATAGAGACGTCAATTTAGGAACATACAGAGACTTCAAAACTTACCACTACCATCTTTTCACCCACAATTTTTCTTTCTTTTTTTTTAATTGCATTTTAGGTTTTGGGGTACATGTTAAGAACATGCAAGATTGTTGCATAGGTACACACATGGCAGTGTGGTTTGCTGCCTTCCGTCCCCTCACCTGTATCTGTCATTTCTCCCCATGCTATCTCTTCCCATCTCCCCACCCCCCGTCCCTCCCCCATTTTCCCCCCAACGGACCCCAGTGTGTAGTGCTCCCCTCCCTGTGTCCATGTGTTCTCATTGTTCAACACCCGCCTATGAGTGAGAATATATGGTGTTTGATTTTCTGCTCTTGTGTCAGTTTGCTGAGAATGATGGTTTCCAGGTTCATCCATGTCCCTACAAAGGACACGAACTCATCATTTTTGATGGCTGCGTAATATTCCATGGTGTATATGTGCCACATTTTCCCTATCCAGTCTATCCTTGTCTTTTGATTGTTGTCTCTTTGCCGAGCCATTTTTGGACCTGAATCATTGAGCCATTCTCTAATGTTATGGTGCTCTATAAATCATGAAGAAATCGGTTAAAAGTAGCAATTCGCTACCTTCTAACCTACATGAAATCGGATATCCACTTTTTAATTTCTATTTTGAAATTCTTTTTTTTTTTAAATCTTCAATTTGGTTGTCATGATTTAGTACTATCAAACTAGAGGAAGTCTCAAGAGAGTATTTAGTTAGTGCTCTTTCCTAGGCAAACAATGCATAAGCTATTTGTGTTTAATTTTTTCTTTCTACATGCTCTTTCATATCATGACAAAGAGATTAAAAAAATGAAATGAAGGCCAGGCACGGTGGCTCACGCCAGTAATCCCAGCACTTTGGGAAGCCAAGGCAGGCGGATCACGAGGTCAAGAGATCGAGACCATCCTGGCCAACATGGTGAAACCCCATCTCTAATAAAAAATACAAAAATTAGCTGGGCATGGTGGCGCATGCCTGTAATCCCAGCTACTCAGGAAGCTGAGGCAGGAGAGTTGCTTGAACCCAGGAGGCAGAGGTTGCAGTGAGCCGAAACTGCACCACTGCACTCCAGCCTGGCGCCTGGCAACAGAGCAAAAAATTGTCTCAAAAAAAAAAAAAAAAAAAAAAAAAAAAAGAAAAAGAAAAAGAAAAGAAAGAAAGAAAGAAATGAAAACAATTTGAATTTTGTAGCCCTTTTGTTAACCATCAAAATACTAGCAAAAGGATTAACTTTAGAGATGTGAGAATATTAACAGAACAAGCCCAGACGGACTTGGTGATAAATCAGATTGGAGTAAACCATGCCTAACCACCTTCCAGCTTTCTCCTGATTGTTGCACACCAGGAAGAGATAGTTCTGACCTTTACTTTCCGGTTGTCTGCTGTGGTTTCATCAAATTCTTCCCCCAGCTTGAAGGAGATCTTAGTGTTCTGGAAAGAACTTTCCGTTCTTATGGTCATTGTTTTCCCATCAACACTAATACTTACTGTCAGCTTCACTAACCCTGCTACGTTCTGGGCTGCAAAATCCACTCCTATAAGACAGAGATAGCCTTGGACCTTATTAAGACATTGTTCACAATTATTCTGGAAGTCAGTTTTCAAAGAATGCTTACTTCACTTATATTGAAACTTTGGATAATGTACAGGAACTTATTTTATGTTCTCTGTGATATCTGGGTTGAGCTAGATCCTCCCAATCATAAGGTGTATCATGTAATTATATGTGACATTTTAAAAAGCTAAATCCACTCTCTGAGGCTATTACACTTCATCTAAAATGTAAATTTGTATGGTGCCTTTCAAGAGATCAAATGCTGGCACTTCGCTTTGTGGAGTGTTGCAACAACCGTGTGGGTGCAGGAGGAGTTTGGCTTAGAGGCTGGCCCTGTTGTTCTGGTTGGGAATTTCCCATTGTCATCTTGACTCCTGCAGTTGGTGGGCAGAAGCGCTGACTCCCTCTCTGTCTTATTATCAAACTCCATTTCACATTCAGATTGTGGAACTGATATGACAGCTCACTGCAGAGAAGCAGTGTTAGACATTTGCATCACAAAGAAGAGTGAAATGGTTAAAACACAGGCTCTAACTTGGCCATTTGCTTGCTTGGTCATATTATTTACCTCTCCTAACCTTCTGATTTCTCCATTAGTAAAGTGTGGATAACTGTATACTTACCTCGTGGATGTTTTAAAAGATTAAGTGAAAGGATTTAGCATGGTACTGGCACAAAGAAACTGCTCAGCTGTTATTCCTCCTTGCATTATGCCTAACTCAGCTCCCAATCAACACCAATGCTATTCTGGCCGTAAGCTCCAAGTTTTTTATATATCCCCCCCCCCACATACACCAATTTTAATTCAAAACAAGGGAGTCTATAATATGAAGAGATAGAAAAACTTGTTTCTTATGACCGTCTGAGAAAGTTAATACTGACTACATAAGAGGAGCAAATATTACATTTATAAACACATTGACTTATTATGGGGATAAGGCATTGCTATTTCATTGTCTAGAATGAGTAAACATAATTAATAACTGTAAGCATCTATTGAACATTTTAAGTAAGTTTAAAACAAAGTAAAGATAAGAAAGTCATTGGCTTTATATACAGTTTGCTATTGCAAGGGAGGTTTCTCCTAATTAAATATAAAAAAAGATTGCTGTTTCTCTATTAGTAAAGAACAATTTAGCTATTATACACCCAAGCCATTATAATTAATGTGTAACTGTATGACTTGAATTAGAGATTAAAGGATAGGTAGGGTTTATAATTCTGAGGTATATCTAGTGGTGAAACGTCCAATGAGTAAAAATATTCTGTTTCTTCCATCCAAATTTCTAATTCTTCAAAATCATATTTGTAAAATATCTCTCACATGTTTGAGAACTCTAAAAATTAACCAACCAGAAATTTTGTTTGTTGCTACTGTTGTTTTAAAGTTATAACTTAAAGCAAATCTTTAAACAAATTTAATTGATCAATTTAATTGTAGGTAGTATTAACTGTCTATAAATTTGAAGCTGGGAAAAATGTTATTAAATGAAATGACCAAGCTAAAGTGAAATTCTGTCTAGAAGTTAAGTTGAAGTATTTTGAAAAAGGATAAATTGATTTAAATACATAGATTATGACTGGGCAGGGGTGTCTGTGGGCCTAGTCTTCCAAAAAGAGACAATTATTACTAGTAATTTTAAAAAGCAAAGGTAGATGCATAAATTATGTTAGGTTATAGGAATATACCCTAGGATCACAAAAGATAATTGTAGGAAAATTCGTGGTAAAGCACAAACCCAACCACATCACAAAATGATTTGTCAATTTCCAAATCTGGAATGATATTTCTCACCCGGCTCTTTCATGTAATCCTCAGAGTTTTCACTGGAGACCAGCTTCCAGGTTCCCAAGAAGGCTCAGCCATCTTGGAATACTTGCTGAGAAGAGCCACTTATAATTGAAAACCAAAGAAATATAGGTATTACGGTGCTGCCAGTGGCTTAATTTAAAGAGCACCTTTATCACATGACTCTTGTGAAATTGCCAATGGGCAATAGCAGCAAGACTAAAGATTCTAAGCACCGGCATTTGACTCATTTTATTCACCTCCAAATTAAGAGACAGAAAATTGTCAGGTAAATTTAAGATCAATGATTTTAGCTTCTAGCATAAAGATTTACACCTGAGTCACCTGATAAATATTACTTGTGGAACTGAGACAATTTTCAGTTGACATCAGCTTTTTGAGCAATGAATACTGAGTCAACCCTAAAGGAATATCGTGACAAATTGATAAACACCTGACTGAGATGTTTTCCCACCTAAGACAAGAAATCCTTGCTTGGTCCACCTCAGCTGTTTTTTGTTTGGGTAAGTCACAGTGCTCAAACATCCTCTTCATTAAAATAATATCTTCCCTTCCTTACAGGGTTGATGAGTTGATATTAGTTAATGTAACTGAAATGCCTACAATTACTTGAAAAGAGGTGAAAAATGTGATTAATATATTATCATTGTTGTTAATCAAAGATAATTGAGGACTGGAAAGAAAGGTGACAATTATCATTGAGTAATGGTATGTGATTTAAGCCCTTCAAAGGAAGTGGAGCTAATGCCTAGAAAATTTGTCTTTCAGGCTTACAAAGTAACCTCTACATTAAAAAAATCCTTTTAAATTATAAGAAAAAATTGGGGAAGTTTTATGTAGAAAAAGAAGTTTAGAATCTGCATTCTAAAAGAAAGACAAACGCAGCAAATAGTTTAAATCTCTGTGCAATTATTTCTGAAACCATCTTCTGCAACCCCAGTAATGGAGGTGGACTTTGCAGGTACTGAGTTTAGTAAGAAGAATTAGGTTCAGTAGTTGCCAATTTACACTACAGTTTTGAACTCCAGTTAAGTTTTGAAGGTCCTGGAAAGTTAGTGTCAAGGACTAGAAGAAGAATATTTATATTTTTACCTACTTTGTACAAAGTATTTCTTTAATTCAGAAAATATTTATTCGAACCATCTCTTTGTGGACAAAATAAACAAGAGGTTGATGTTTTGATATTGTAAAGCAATAACTTAAGTGGAATAAAGAATTGCTTTTGATGATAACATATAAAGAAGAAACATATAATGTGATATCTTTATAGGTGGAACAATTATTAAATTATCTATAGTGTAAAACAGAGTAAGCAAAAATCCTAGAGTTAATTTCAGGAAACTAAGACCCAAGCTCAAAATAAGTGCCTCAGCAGTTGAACGTGTGTTCAGAGGTGATGTTCAAATACGGAGCAAGTTGTTAAGCGTTTGCTTAACTGGTTCTAGATGTGTACTCTCTGCTTTAAAGACAGCAAGCATACATTGCTATGCCTGTTGGCCAGCAGGGTAGTGTAGTAAAGATCTCCCATCAACATAACCTTCCTTATTGTTTTGATTTTGTCATAGAATGATATTCCTGTGGTTCATTTCAGAACTCAGTTGGTCCATGAGGCTAAAGCTAACAGCAAATTTCTGGTTTCAATTAACCTCAGCAAACTGATGCAAGAACAGAAAACCAAACGCCGCATATTCTCACTTACAAGTGGGAGCTGAACAGTGAGAACACATGGACACAGGGAGGAGAACAATACACTCTGGGGCCTGTGGGGTCAGGGCTACGTGGGGAGGAAGAACATCAGGATAAATCCTAATGCATGTGGGGCTTAATACCTAGGTGATGGGTTCATAGGTGCAGCAAACTACCATGGCACACATTTACCTATATAACAAACCTGTACATTCTGCATATGTATCCCAGAACTTAAAATAAAAATTCTGGCTTCTGTAAAATTCCCCACCCATAGGAGAGAGCCAAAGGGAGAGTCAATCTCTCTTTTGCCTCTACACACTTTCCTATCTCACGTGATGCTTACAACGGCTGCATCCATTGTGTTACCTCCTCGAAGACGGAGCCAGACTGAGGATGGCAGAGCAGAAATGTTGAAGGAACTAAAGACCACTTTATTTCAAAAATTTATATTATGTTAGTTAATAAATTCCATTCTTAAACAATTTTGTTTCTGAGCTTTTGTAACTCGCAGAACAAGTCTTCATAATTAATATGCCTTTGTAAATAGCTTCACCAAATGATGAATTGGGACCTTCGCAACAACCAGTTGCGTGGATCACATAGAGTTGGCTGTGTGACAGCATATACCCATCTTCCTGAACCAACTCAAACATCTCTTTCTTTGTGAGACTGGTTCAGAGCAGGTAATCCCCATGGTGTGAAAATAGAATTATATGCTTAACAGATGTATATTAGACAACTTATTTCATAGTGCTGCAAATAGCTGTTTCCCAGCTGTCTCCTGAGCTAGGGGAATATCAAAAAAATAAAATATCTCCCACTCACTTCTGTATCCTTAAGACAGTATCTGGCATAAGTGTTCAGTAAATGTTTTATGGATGAGTGACAAAAGAAAGTATATGTTTTTGGCAGGAAACGGTGGCTCAAGCCTGTAATCCCAGCACTTTGGGAGGCCAAGGCGGGCAGATCACCAGGGCAAAAGATCGAGACCATCCTGGCCAACATGGTGAACACCGGTCTCTACTAAAAATACAAAAATTAACTGGGTGTGGTGGCGTGCACCTGTACTCCTAGCTACTCGGGAGGCTGAGGCAGGAGAATTGCTTGAACCTGGGAGGTGGAGGTTGCAGCGAGCCAAGATCCTGCCACTGCACTTGACTGGTGCCTGGCAACGGAGCAAAACTCTGTCTCAAAAAAAGAAAGTATATTTTTAAACTGGCAGTTCTCCTCATTAGTGTTCTTTATCTCTCTAACAGTGACTAAAGACAGGGTTTTAGTACATTATCCTCTCCTGACCTGAACCTATGACAGGCCTTTTATTCTGGTCATTATCAGATGGTGGAGGGATGCTGAGACTCTCTTTATCTTTCTCAGTGTTTCATTTTTACATAGTACAAGTCTCCGTTCTCAACTAAGAAAGTTCTCTGTTATTTCTGTTGCTGCCACCACTAGCCTTTAGTACTTTGGTTTGATTATAAAAGAAAAAAGGTAAGCACCATTTCCTCAAGTAGAAAAAAAATTTTAAATTAGATTGTTCCTAATTTTAATCCTAGTAAAGGAACTAGAATACTGTAATTTGTTATAAAATAGATACATGTCTTGTTTCTATGACAGTTTCAAGGCTTATTTCTCCAAGACTTTATTTTTGTATGCTCCTTCAACAACTCATTTTCTATATTGACTTTCTTGTGACATTCTAAGACATCAAGTAGTTTTTAATAATTTTTAAATTTGAGATGCTACAGTCACCACTGATGAGGGATACTGGTAAAGTTAAACATATACTGGAAGCTACACAAGTATTCAGAAATATGCCTGATAATTTATTGCTGCACATATAGTACTTTAGCTGGATTTGATAAAGCATCTTAAGATTTTTATTTCCACATGCAGTGGCACCTCTAAGTATCACATTCCTTACTGTGTTCATCATTCAATTTCAGTCATCTATTTTTATAGATGCAGTAATATTCTTAATAACTTTTCAAAGTATACATTTAATCTAGGAATATGAAAAGTAGTTCGGTATTTAAAATTTTTCTTTTTAAGGTGATATTATATTACCCAATATGGAAAACAATTATTTTGAAATTCACTTGGGTTAATAAATAGTCTGAATGTAATATTCAATCATTGAAATAGTCCTTGATTTGCTAGTATTTTCTACACTTGAGAAAGTAATATTGTAATTTCAAAAGACTATTTATTAACATAAATGATATATTTTAAGAACAACACTTTTTCCAATAATTTTTAATGTATGGGGGCTTTAGGAGAAATTTTACATTGTTTTTACTCCTGCATCACTTCACTTAAAACAAAAATTTTACTTAAGACAATCATACCAAATAAATTCTGAGCAAATAAACTTTTCGATATGATAACTTCCAGTTTATTTTTACTACTTACAAAGTAAGTCCATCTCATATCTATTATTTACTGCTTAGTAAGTATATATAAAAATAGCAATTTCTTTCTCTTTTTTTAGTGAAGGTTATTTATTTGAAGTGCTCATTATTTAGGAGCATATGGAAGCAGTTGACCACACTGAAAATTCACCTGTACTGGGACTGTTCTTTACTATTATTATTATTAATTTACTTTAAGTTCTGGGATACATGTGCAGAATGTGAAAGTTTGTTACATAGGTATACCTGTGCCATGGTGGTTTTCTGCACCTATCAACCCATCATCTAGGTTTTAAGCCCCGTATGCATTAAGTATTTGTTCTGATGCTCTCCCTCCCCTTGCCCCCACCCCTGACAGGCCCCAGCCCAGTGTTTGATGTTCCCCTCCCTATGTCCATGTGTGCTCATTGTTCAACTCCCACTTATGAGTGAGAACATGTGAGGTTTGGTGTTCTGTTCCTGTGTTAGTTTGCTGAGTATGATAGCTTCCAGCTTCATCCATGTCCCTGCAAAGGACATGAACTCATTTTTTTTATAGCTGTATAGTATTCCATAGCTATCTTCAGAGTTAGCTTTAGGAATAAACTTAAGGTCTTCTCAGGTTCTTTCTGAGCCTGTGACTTCCCTACATAGGCATACTGACTTTTTAATTTTCCTTATATATGTGGTTGCTTTGAATGTCCTAGTCTTTAATGTCTGGATTCTAAAAGGAAAAAAGAAAAAATATGATGTGGGAAGTAGGGGAGGAGCTGACTTTTTAAATACACCAAAAGCTGCTCCAGCCCAAGAAGAAATGACTTACAACAATAAGGGGTGTTGTGTGTATGTGTGTGTGTGTGTGTGTGTGTGTGTGCAACGACTGCTGGCCAATGTGTCTGCAGTTCTGTGATCAGAAGCAGCAATCATTAATCAAAACAAAGATCCATAACATTCGGAAAACATGGTTCTTATTGTCCATCCTAGTTCCTGCAAGATGACTGCAAGCTGCTCCAGAAACATGTGCACAGCTGCCTTTGTGGGCATTGTGGGTGGGCATGAGTATCTGCAACTGGGTTAAGAGCTGAAATTGACCAAAATTAACTGCAACTTATCATCCAAGACTTCCCTGAATATTGCAAGGGTTCAATAGATTTCAGAGTCTCAAAATAGATAAATTAGACAGATTCTGCCAGTGCATTTGTTGTCTAGGTAGGAAGACATATTCCTGCTCATCCTACTCTATCTTCCAGAATTTTCTCATAATTGAGTTTATCACATTTCTGAATCAAGTTATCACTTGCACATTTATGGCTTCCAGACAGTATAACTCTTTTGAATTTCTGATTATTATAGGTAGGAAGACATATTCCTGCTCATCCTACTCTATCTTCCAGAATTTTCTCATAATTGAGTTTATCACATTTCTGGATCAAGTTATCACTTGCACATTTATGGCTTTCAGACAGTATAACTCTTTTGAATTTCTGATTATTATATCTATTTCTTACTCAGTTTTATGATGTTAAACTGTGCCTCAATTTTTTTCTCCGTAAACAGAAATCCAAATCCTCACATCAGATTATATTGATGACAAATGATTTAAAGCTTGCAAAGTGACTGGCACCATCATTAGTGCTTAATAAATATTGGTTTACCAAGAATTGTCCTAAAAATGTCTATATATCTTTTCTATTTAAGTTCCTCAAACCTCTAGTGAGCCCAAAGTGAGAGTCTAACCCTATGTTTTTATTAAAAAAAAAATTCTTATGGTCAGGGAAATAGTCCTTCTCTTCTGTCCTTTTGATATCATGGTGTTACAGGGTAAGTTGCAGAAAGTGAAAACCTTTGAACTTATTTTTAAAGAAAGAATCACAAACAGAATGATATCAACTGAAGCATGTACTTTGGCATATTTTTGTCTTACAATAAAATGTTAGCATTAATTTGTAAATTTCAGTCTATGTATAAGAAACCTCAGCAATCTGGAAAGGTGCTTCATAGCTTCTGTGAGAGGTGGGAAAAACATACAGACAACACATACACAGACATGCACATTCACACACACAGTACCTTGGAAAACTCATTATCACTTTTGTATGCCTTATAAACTGAGATTCCTTGGAGATTTTATTTGAATCAAAAGTTCCATTGGTGAGACAAATACAAGTTTGGAAACCACTACAATAAAATTTGAATCTACTCATATACAAGACTATCGTCACTTTTCTGAAATGAATATGATGGAATTATTTGCACTGAATTCTGGAGAGATAGTCAAAATATTTTGAGAGAGTGAGAGAGCAAGAGAGATCACATACACATAATTTTTATTATTTATAGTATATTGTTATAACTGTTCTGTTTTATTATTAGTTATAGTGCCTAATTTAAAAATTAAACTTTATTGTAGGTATTTATGTATAGAAAAAAACATAGTATATATAGGATTCAGTACTATTTGTGCTTTCAGAAATCCACTGGGGATCTTGAAATGTATTTCCTGTGGATAAGGGGCAACTACTGTGTATACTCCTCTCTTGCAACACTCTAAGACAGAGCAGGTATAAAACATGAGCACTTGGGCCAACTGGCTATGAGCAATTTCACTACATTTAAAACTACCTTAGGTCTCTGAGATAAACTTACTTAACTGTAGCTACAATAAAGGATTTAATATTCAGTAATGGCATTCACGTAACAAGTAGGTACTTGTTACTTCCTACCTAGGAAAATTCTAGCTATCCATTTTTACTTTGAATTATTATGAAAGATCTTATCATCTCTATCAGAACAAAGCAATAATGCAAATTTTCTATTTCCTTCACTCAATTATGACTAAAAAATTATCCAGCACGATGAATACATCATTATATCACCTTCTAAATCTAAAAAAAAAATTTGTTTAACCAACATAACCATATTGAGTAAAATCAGCTTGGGAGAAAAGTAGTTGCTTGCTAAATCATGGAAAACAACATCTTTTTGAACAATATATCCAACAGAATGTTGTAGAGTTCAATGCAAACTTCAGTCCAGGTCAACGCACCTTGGCTTATGCTCTCTCATAAACTCTGGTGGAAGTGACGCCTTTCATGATGCATTCCTAGGCACATAAAACAATTGATCAATCACTGGGATTAAACTATGGATTTATTTATTGTATCTCTCAATGTTGGGAATAAAGCAGTATTCATTCAAAAGATATTCATTTCTGGACTCCTGTGTATGTACCCACATATTGTAATAAGATAGATACAAAGGCCAGGAAAATGCAAGTTTCCCCCTCCAGGAGTCTTATAATCTGTATGGTGAGTGAGAAACAGAAGCAAAGATAGGTAATATAATGTGGTGGTGGCACCACTGGAGACAGCCTTAGGATGCCTGGAAGCAGACAGAGAATGATTCCTAGAAGACAACATGCCTGGGCTGAACTCAAAAGCATGAAGGGCAATTGCCAGAGTGGAAGCATAGTTCCAATAAAATCTTCTTTTTGTTTTATATAATCAAAAGGAAAATCTGTTTCCTTAAGTGGAATAGTGATCATGAGATGACCTAGCAGTAAGATCCAGAATTAAGTAGCTGGAAGATACTCACCACCACCAGTTTATCATCCTCTCGTTTTCTCTTTATGGTGGTTGATTTTCCATCCCATTTCTGCACATGTACCAGGACACCTCCATCTAAGGTTATGGTGCTCTGTAGGCATAAGAAAATGTAATTATAATTTGCATACGGAAGCAGAAAATAAAATTTAAAATACAATATCTTTGTTCAAAGGAACATTTTGAGGTCATTAGTAATTCTAAGTGACAAGAATATATTGCAACAAGAAAATAAAAGAGTCTCCAAAACAACAAGTTACCACTTATAGATACGTTATGTCCGGAGTGTTATACAAATTACAGAATTGGAAAAAAGTACTGTGCAGGAATATAAAAAGAAAATTTACATTGAGATGGTAGTAGTATGGGTGATTTTTCTATTCCTTTCTTCCTTTTTTTTTTTTTTTTTTTTTTTTTGTTTTTGAGACGGAGTCTTGCTCTCTCACCCAGGCTGGAGTGCAGTGGTGTGATCTCGTTTCACTACAACCTCTGCCTCCAGGGTTAAAGTGATTCTCCTGCCTCAGCCTCCCGAGTAGCTGGGATTACAGGTGATCACCACCACACCTGGCTAATTTTTGTATTTTTAGTAGAGACAGGGGTTTCACCATATTGGCCAGGCTGGTCTCGAACTTCTGACCTTGTGATCTACCTGACTCGGCCTCCCCAAGTACTGGGATTACAGGCGTCAGCCACCGCACCCGGCCTCTTTCTTCCATCTTTAAAAACATTCTCTTACACTGTTATAGTACTTTAATTCACTTGAAATACTCTATGTATTATATGACTCAAATAAATTATGTTAATAATTTTTTTTTTTTTAATATGGAGACAGGCCAGGTGTGGTGGCTCACAACTGTGATTCCAGCACTTAGGGAGGCCACGGCAAGAGGATTGCTTGAGGCCAGGAGTTCAAGACTAGTCTCGGCAATATAGTAAGACTCTGTCTCTCCAAAAAACAAAATAAAAAATTAGCTGGGCATGATGGCACACAGCTGTATTCCCAGCTACTCAGGAGGTGAAAATGGAGAAAAATTCACCAACCCTATATTTAAGGAGACACAGTTTAGATGTAGGAGTTCAGGGATCTTTGGCTTATGATAGAATGGTTTTCTTCCTTTTATTATAAAATGATTTCTTGGCTGGGTGCAGTGGCTCACACCTGTAATCCCAGCACTTTGGGAGACTGAGGTGGGCAGATCACCTGAGGCCAGGAGTTTGAGACTAGCCTGGCCAACATGGCAAAACTCCATCTTTACCAAAAATACAAAAATTAGCCAGGCGGGGTGGTGGGCGCCTGTAACCCCAGATGCTAGGGAGGCTGAGGCAGGAGAATTGCTTGAACCCAGGGGGTGGAGGTTGCAGTGAGCCGAGATCACATCACTGCACTCCAGCCTGAGCAACAGAACAAGACTTCGTCTCAAAAAAAAAAAAAGATTTCTTTTAAGCAGTGGTAATTTAGAAAACAGACATGTACTCTGTGCCACTTCCTTATTTCTCACCTTGACTTTCCTGTCATCTGCGGTAATTTCGTCAAATTCCTGGCCCAGTTTGAAGGAAATCTCAGTATTTTTAAAGGTGCTTTCAGATTTAATGGTAATCACATCCCCATTCACACTGATGATCATGTTAGGTTTGGCCATGCCAGCCACCTTCCTGGTGGCAAAGCCCACTCCTACAGTTAAGACAAGAAAAGATGTCAGGTTTACATTTTCTCTAAGTCAGAGAATGTGTGTGTGTACACAGGTGCATGTGTGTAAGAGAAAAAAGACACTAGTGAGTTTCTTAAAGGCCTAATTTAAACAGTTCCTGCAGATAATAAAATCAGACTAATACTTAAAAAAAAAAAAAAAAAAAAAAAAAAACTAAAGCACAACCTCTGAGAAACAATAGGTGTAGGCTCTATTCTTTAAACTTCCCTTTCTCTGGTCTGGATGCAACTTCTCAGGAGACCCATTGTTTATTTTCAACAAAAATATGTATAAAGGTTAAGTCTTTGGGAAGATATATATTTAAAATGTTAGCCACTATTATTTTTCTCTTTTAAGAAAATACTCGAGGCCACTTGACCATTGTATACATACTCAACATTACATTTAAGAAGGGACAAATAATTTTCAACAGAATTTTGGGGGTTAATGTAGACTTATTTACAGTTAAATAGTCATCTGTTTTGAGTGTACAAAAATCACATTTCATAGCATTTGTTGCCAAATCTACTTTTCTGTGCTTCTTTCTCAAATTACTCCACCATGAAATGTAGATTTTGATGAATTTCATGGGAACAGAAAAGCCACCCATACTACTACAAAAGGAAAAATGTTTTCTACATTTATAACATTTTAGAATGGTGATATCATTCCTAGTAATTTATAGGGGATATTTAAAAAGGCATTAGTCATCAAATTGTGAAAACTTCAACATTTAAGAAATCACTGTTTCTTAGTTTAGAGTAGGTTAGAAGCCAATACTTTGATTTCCAATCACCTAAGTTGTGAACTCTTCTTTCTTAAAAAGGAGAATACATTTTCTTGTGCAAGGTATGGAATGAATAATTTACATCCTAACACAGCAGTAACTTGCTGCTACTGTGTATGCCATGCAGAATTTATGACAGTCATAGATGTTTTGAATTTTTCAACATGTACATGTAAATCTAAGCTCTTTCTTTGACTAAAGGCAACCAAAGGCTAGAAACTGGGAAAAACTGGGAAGAGATATATGGTGCCAAATAAGTAATGCTGAGGCTCTGACTTAGCTGTCTGTCTGAAAAATGGCTGCAGGTTTTTCTTCAAGTCCTGGCTCTGTTACAAAATATAACATTAAACGTATGATGTGAGCCGGCTTCATGAATGCAGGCAAAACTGAGTATGATGCAGGAATGGCTGACCTTGGGAAAAATCATAGACTCCATTTGCTTGAGTTTGCTTTTATTTGAGTGGTGAAGACAATACCTGCCCACTCATCCTCAATTAGAGCAGCTGATCTCATGCAGGAGGTATTTTATTGACCTTAATTATCATCAGTCATCTACAATTTAAAAATACAGTATTATTGGAAAATACAAATATTAAAAGCATAAAAAAATTTTTAAAAATAAATAGTTAAATGTCCCCAAATCCTGGCATTTCTGTATCCGTGCATATTAATTAGTTTACTGAATCACTTTAGTGTATTCTAGAAACTTAGGTCTCTCTGATGCTAAAGTCACCAATTTCCCTATCATCTAAAAACAAAAAAAATTTACAGATGAGCTATATATATATATATATATATATATATATATATATATATATATATTCAAAACACTTAACACACCTGTACAGTACTGTTACATTCTAAACCCTAAGAAACAGATTGCAGAAAATTCCTCCCCAGTTTGTAACCCCATTTCTGACTTCCGTGGACTATCCTGCATGGGGTTGAGGGAGAAAGGCTTTCAAAGTGGAATCTGCCTGAGTGAGAAGTTGCCTCTTTTGCTTTACCTCCATAGTTATCTGAGAGACATTCATCCAACAACCTGCTGACAATGTTATTAGCATCTAAAAAATTTAAAACCTCTACTATCAAAGAAGAGCTATGTTACATATATAACAGTCTCTTTTTAAATTACTTAATAATTCTACAGCATCCTATGTCGTTTCTAGTGAAAGGAAGTATTTAAGCTCTTTAAGAAACACATTTTCTGAAATAAAGATTTTTGTCTATCATAAAACAACCGCATATTTTAATGGATTGACATTGAGAAAGAGAATAACTGGCTAACATACAGTTACTGAAAAAGAGCCTTGAGTTAAGGGAAACTGAGTGCTTTCAGTTTCAAATGAAAATTATTGCATATCATTTTTTTCCAAGTTATTGCTTATTTTATATGCAAAAGGGGAAGAAAGAAAAATATGCAGAGAGCTATGTAAACCAAAGATACTCTAGTTTTGCAATTAAAGTCAAATCTTGTTTTTAAAGACCATAAGCATTCCATTTAGACACTTTTTAAATATTGGTACACCTTTAGGAAGCATTAGTTGTAGCTTTGGTTCAGAATTTCTCTAGAAACAAATGATTATCGCTTGCTATGTGTGGAGCCTCTCTATAGAAAGCAGCATTTTCATTTCTGGCCAGAGCTTCCAAACACTGATGTAAACACAACTATAAACTCTTTTCCCCAAAAGAAAATGTTATAAATCCACTCATTACCCAATGCATTTCCTTACCTACTTCTTTCATATAATCATCAAAGTTTTCACTGGAGACAAGTTTCCAGGTACCTACAAAAGCATCACACATTTTGTGAGTTTTCTAGGATTATTCTTCAAGGTGAAAAGGAAGCTGCAGTTTTCAGGAGGGTGCTGTGACCCTCTTGAGTCCAGATAACTTTCTTTTAAAGATGCTCAGAACATGTGATCTTAGGAATGACCAATTGGGAATGATACCCAATCATTTCCTTCATTACTGACCTCTGCATTTTTTTCTCTGAGTCATGTTTTTCATATAAATTTCTCAACTTTGGTTCTCCCTGGCAAACAGTCATTGGACTTAGAGTACAAAATTATTTTTAAACCACTAACGGGATATTTTAAACATTCCTGGTTTGATAGCTTAATGCTCAGTGCATGAATTTCTCCCTATTATTTCTATACATACTTACCCCAGTGTAGAGAAGGGAAATTATTTTGAGATAAACTTTGACCTTCTTTTGGAGTTTTAAAATTTAAATTGCAGTTGTGTGGTTCTTTTGAATTGAGAAACATAAGAACTGCCTTGGAGAGTCTTACATAATTGCAAAGCCTCTTTAGGACAGTACTGTCTCAGGAATTACCTGGCAATTAAGACAAAATAAATAATGGCATTTAAAAGTACTCAGATTTCTAATTTCAAATGTTTTATATGATTTTAAAAGTACATTCAGTTCACCTACCAGGAATCTGGACTGTAGATTTTATTGAAATAATTTAACCTCATTCTTTCCGTCTCCTAAACCAAATTTATTCAGATCAGAAGCGGTGTGGTTGCAAACTACCAAAACCAATATCCTTCTTTTATACAGTGACCAGTCTGTGAAATTAATTTCCTAAAGTAATCGTGGTTTTCAATTCCCTTCACCCCATGCAAGAATGATGGAAGATGTTCACATGTGCTGCAAATTCCCATGAACACACCCAGATTTGGTGGCAAAAAAGAAAATAGTGTATTTCAGAGTGATGCGTCACTGCACTGTGTATCCCACTGAACAGGACCCGCTGAGCATATGACTGATTCATAAGCCTGTGTAACTATCCTGAGGGCTTTCCAAAAATGTTTGTGGCAGGAGATGCTGTAAACAACAGGATTTTCTGTAGGAAAGCAAGTAGCTATGAAAGCCTGATAAAGTTAGGCTTTGCATTTGTTAATGGCACAGTAATAACGCTCATCTACTCTGGACTGTTGCATAGACTTTGGCAATGTACCATCCAGGTAGGCTTGCTATCAGTGATTTGCCTGTTTCCCATTGAATAAGACGTTTCAGGTGGAAAGTGAATAAAAGTGACAAATCTTAATAGAGGGATGTTTTTGATAATGTTTTAAATTAATTTCCTTCAGACAGGTTTTTAAATGATTGAATTTGAATACAGACTATATGTATTGTAACACTGCAATTTGGTTTTTTAAAAAATTTATTTATATAGGTTTAGCACTACATGTGAATTTTTGTTACATAGGTATATTGAGTGGTGATAAAATCGGGACTTCTAGTGTAACCATCACTCAAATAATGTATATTGTACCCAATAGGTAATTTCTTTTTTCTTTTTTTTTAGATGGAGTTTCACTTGTGTTGCCCGGGATGGAGTGCAGTGATGCAATCTTGGCCCACTGTAACCTCTGCCTCGTGGGTTCAAGCAATTCTCCTGCCTCAGCCTCTCCAGTAGCTGGGATTACAGATGCCCATCACCATACCCAGCTAATTTTTTGTTTGTATTTTTAGTATAGATTAATTCATTATTAGATACACGTAGTTACATATTCAATAAAATGCCTGAAGGAAACCCTTCTTTGATGGGTGAGAGTCCACCAGCATGCCTGTAAAAAACAACAACAAAAAACTTGAAGAATATTTGTGGGCCAGTAGCATCGTCTTCTACATCAGCATATGCCGTGTCTGATCATTGCTGGAGACATGGTGTCGTTGAGATTTTCTAGAAACAACTACTGGCTCTTTTAATGAGTTCATATAAACAAAAATAGTAGTAATCTATAGCAAAGGACCTTGGTAACTTAAACAGCAATGAGAGATTTAAGATATGAGAAGGTAGAGTCCACAGGAAGACATTTCATATGATCACCTGTTAAGAGTAACAAGGCTTGGCAGAGTTTCTTACCTGAAGGAATATTACCCTTAAAAGCAGCTCAATGTATATCCTAAACCCATGGAACATGTTATGGAATACTAATATTCCTACTCTGCAGAGGTCCACTACGTTGTCTTGTGTAGGGTAGAGAACTCTTTCTGGATGATGAGCTGACCAGAAATAGAATGCAGAGAATGGGATAATGGAATGAGGTAATGAAATGAGACAATGGGATAGCAGTGAAAGAAATTTAGAAGAGTTGTAAGTGTCTTTTGTACAAAACATGCTGATACCAAGAAGACTATCAAAACAAAACACTTTTAAAATGGCTTTGTACATTACTTTGGTCCCACACTGGTAACTAGAATGGGAACATCGATTACAAAAGAGAGACACAATTTGTTCTGCATGATAATCTGTCCAGATGCAAATCTGCTCACAAGGCAAGAGTTAAGAGAGATGCGGACTGAGCAAGGGTAATGGAATGAGACAATAGGATAGCAGTGAAAGAAACTGAGAAACAATATAGAAAGTATATAGGATGCTCCTTCCCTTTTGGAGGGACCTAATAACTCAGAAACGAGGTGCATAGGTGACAATTTGCCTTTGACCATGAAAAGAATTCCCGCAGAGGTGACTATACTTTTATTCAAACATACCCTAATACAGCATAGACATGCACACACCAGGTCAGAGTGTTTCCTTAGGGCTGTGGCAAGGGATCTTCAGTAGCCAGAGCTTTTCTTTTCTTTGGGGATGTGGAGGCAGGGGACATGGCCCCAGACCCTCAGTGCTTAATAGCCCTGGCTCAGGCCGTCTGCCTTGCACTTTGCTCTCCTATGGACAGCTTCCATGGAATGCGTCCCTCTGACCTTTGCCTGTGTTTATTTCTTTTGGAGGAAATGAGAGTAATTTTTCTGACAATTTTTAAGTTGAAGAGGAAACATACCCACTCTCTGAATAATGAGGAGTAGGGAAAAAGCCCTGATGAGGGGGAGTGTTTTCACAGCATGTATGTAATAGGTTAAGGAAAGGTTCATGCCAAGGCTCCTTTTATTTGAAACAAAGCTCCTTTCTTAATGCATCATTAGTATCAGTGTTTTGGGATTTGTTAGAATTTTAAAATGAAACTGTAATAGGAAAATCAAGCATATTTTATTTGGTTCTCTCTCTCCATGGACTAGTGGTAACATTTAAGATGAGAATTATTTTACATTTTCTACCTTGGGTTTAAGAGGCAGAGTAAAGGTAGCTCTGTACAATTTTGTGTGTCATTTACTGCACAGTGAGCGGTCACTGACTCTTAACTCTAACTCCAAATGGTGACAGTTTTGGAAAGAGTGAGTAAGCCATAGGCTATGGATCAGTTACAGGGTAGTGGCTAATTATAGACTTCGGTTGTGCCGTGTTGCCCAACACTTCACTTGCCCTCTTACTCATTAAAAGAACTCTTCATATATAGTGCAGTGGGTATAAGAAGGAGCCAACAAAAGAGCTAGCAAAGCACATTCTGAATATCAAGTAGCATGCCCTACTTTGCCTTTACATAATAAAGCAGTCCTCATTATGAACTGACTGTAGGCCAAAGAGAACAAATCCCTAGAAAATGTCCAAGGGGACAGACAGAAACACACACACGCACACACACACACACACACACACACACACACACACACTCTTCACATTTGCTTTCTTCTTTGTATTCATGTAACATTAAGTTATTCCCCTTTTAATTCCCAGGTGTGAGCTCTTTGGGGATAGGGGATATGTCTTACGCATCCTTGTATCCCCAAGGCTTATGTCTGACGTGGTAGTTCTGTCTAGTTCATTGTTGAAATAGGAGAAAATCATTCAGGTTAATTTAAATTGCATTGAGGTATAAATGGCAGATGTAAGTATTTGCATTTGAATCCTGACTTACCCCCTCCCCAATGTTGTTTGTGACAGAGTCAAGGGAAAAATTTCAGGTGTGGCCCTCCAAAAATGTGGTAGGATGTAAACTGCTATTTGTTTTTATAAGAATTGTTTTCAGTCCACAAGGAAGGAACATATCCTGGCTCTTCCAAACTTCTGTTCATAACCTTGTTCTTGCCAATCTCAGTCCATTTACATTTTATCTGCTTTTTAAAATAGCATACATGTACTGTAATTTTAATTACGCAAATAGAGCTAAATGCAAAGAAGACATTCAGCCATGTACTCACTAAATGCCTAGCAAGTGCCAGTCACTGTGCTTGATGCTCTGGTCCAAGAATGAATAAAACAAGTGGGAAAAGGCACATGAGGACCATTATGACGTCAAAAAATTATAAGCTCAAAATACACACACACACACAGACACACACACACACCGACACACACACACAGGCTGCTATTGGAGTGAAATAGTACCTCATGTGGCCATAATCAGGATGGACGGGATTAGCAATGACTTCCCAAAGGCCTGACATCCAAAATAAGGCTGAAGGATGGCTCAGAGTGTACTGGGTAAAGCAGGGTTCAAGAGGTACCGTTCTACATAGGGAGAAAAGTTTATGAGGCACCTAGAGGGAGTCTGGGAAAGTGAGGGAACTCTGCCTCATGGCAAATGGAAAAATGCTGAGTGGCAAGAGTGTGTATGGGGCATTAGAGAATTAGATGGTGTTTAGAGCAAGGAGGAGCTCACAAGCTAGGCTGAACATTGCGGACCTAGGTGAAGAGCAGTATGGAATAACTGCGGAATTGTAATGAGATAGTAGTATGGTCAGATTTGAGTGTTTCCAAGACTATCTTGGCTGAAGAGTAGAAAATAGATTGGGGTGGGACTAGGAAATTGGTGGAGAGATTTGAAAATAAAGTTTACTAATAAATACTTATCCAGAAGTTAACACTGAACATTTTGGTATACATTCTCCAGACTTTTTATATATATTCATATGCTATTTTCTAAATGGCATTACAGTCCACACTGCTTTAGAATTGACTTTTTCACTTAAAGAATATTCATAAAATGTACTTAAAATCTATTATATATCAAGCAGTATTCTAGGTACTGATAATACAACTACGT